CATATAAAAAGGTTTCAAAAGTATCAATTACCCACGGGAAACGGCCTCGATATGTACTGGAAGAGGAGAATATTATATTCAACGACGCAGACGGCGAGGGACTCTTAACTCCGCATAACGACGCACTTGTAATATCGTTACTTGTACATGACACTAACGTGAAACGAGTTTTGGTTGATCCAGGTAGTTCTGTAAATATTATTTTAATACGAGTATTGCGCGAGATGCAAACGGAGGATAAACTGATTCCAAAAGCACATACTTTGTCGGGATTTGACAACTCTAGTATTGTAACGAAAGGGGAAGCAATACTTACTACATTCGCAGAAGGCGTCGTTAAAGATACCAAATTTCAAGTCGTAGATATGGAAATGGCTTACAACATGATTCTTGGGAGGCCATGGATTCATGACATGGATGCTGTTCCTTCAACCTTACATCAAGTTATTAAATTTCCATCTCCATGGGGAATACGTCAAATCAGAGGCGACCAAAAAACATCTAGAAGCATCAATTCCGTTGAAGATTCAACTGTTAAGGGTGAAGACAAATAGCAATTACAGAATTTAGGTGAGGGTAAAACGGTGTCAACCTCACTTGAACAAAGGCAAACGGATGTGGATTCGAGACCTGATATCATTCAAGAACCGGAGGAGAATGAGAACATAAAAACAATGATAGAAGAGCTAGAGGCCGTGGTGTTATTTATACATTGGCCCGAGAGAAAAGTATATATAGGAGTTAATCTTAGCCCGGAGGTAAAACGTAAATTGATTGAATTTTTAAAAGCTAATGCAGATTGTTTTGCTTGGTCCCATTCTGACATGACAGGGATACCACCGGAAGTCATGACCCATATAAATTGAATGAAGATCCATCATATCCTCCAGTCAAGCAAAAGAAAAGAAAGCAAGGAACTTTCAAGAATAAGGTGATTCAAGAAGAAGTTCAAAAATTGCTAAAAATTGGTTCAATTCGTGAGGTAAAATATCCTAACTGGTTAGCTAATACTGTCGTGGTTCCTAAGAAGAATGGTAAGTGGCGAGTCTGTGTAGATTACACAGACCTTAATAAAGACTGTCGAAAAGATTCTTTTCCTTGACCGCACTTAGATCAATTAATTGATGCTACTGCAAGGCATGAGCTATTAAGTTTTTTAGATGCATATTCAGGCTATAATCAAATCAAGATGGATCCAGGAGATGAAGAAAAAACTTCTTTCATAACAGACAGGGGGACTTACTGTTATAAGGTAATGCCCTTTGATCTTAAGAATGCAGGTGCAACGTATTAGAGGTTAGTTACCCAATGTTTCAAGAACAGGTAAGACCATGGAGGTATATATAGATGATATGCTAGTTAAGACTCAACATACGGAAGATCATATATCACACCTGTCTGACACGATTAAAATTTTACGAAAACATAATATGAAGTTGAATCCAGAAAAATGTGCATTTGGTGTGGCATCAGGTAAGTTTTTAGGTTTTTTTGTTTCTAACCGTGGTATTGAAGTGAATCCTGTGCAGATTAAGGCCATTGTAGAAATACCTGATATACTTTCAAACAAGAAAGAAGTTCAAAGACTGACAGGAAGAATCGCAGCTTTGGGAAGATTCATTTCTAAATCATCGGAAAAATATTTCAAATTCTTCTCGGCCCTTAAGAAGCAGGATCATTTTGAATGGGATGAGGAGTGTCAACAAGCACTTAGGGATTTGAAAACATACTTGTCAAATCCACCTTTGCTAGCAAAACCAAAGGCTGGGGAGAAACTTTTTATCTACCTTGCTGTTTCAGAAGTTGCGGTAAGTGCAGTTTTGGTTCGAGAAGAGCAGGGTAAACAATCTCCTATCTATTATGTTAGTAAATCTTTGTCAGATGCAGAGACACGGTATCCACAATTGGAAAAACTAGCACTTGCTCTAATCATGGCATCTAGGAAGCTAAGACCATATTTTCAATGTCATCCCATTGTTGTAGTGACTGCATACCCCTTACGTAATATATTGCATAAACATGAATTGTCAGGGAGGTTAGCTAAATGGGCCATAGAGATAAGTGAATATGAAAGCACGTACCTACCTAGAACAGCAATAAAATCCCAGATATTAGCTGATTTCGTGGCTGACTTTAGCCAAGGGATGCAGTTAGAAGCAGAAAACGAAGTACAAATACTTAATGGGGCTAATCCAGGAACATGGACCTTATTTACTGATGGTTCATCTAACGTAAAAGGCGCAGGATTAGGAATTGTTTTAGTACCACCTACGGGTGAAACTATTAGGCAAGCTATTAAATGTCATTCCATAACTAACAATGAAGCGGAGTATGAAGTTGTGATTGCAGGTCTAGAATTAGCACGAGAACTTGGTATAAATCAAGTGGTGATCAAAAGTGATTCGCAACTCGTGGTTAATCAAATGCTGGGGACTTACACAGTTAGGGAAGCAAGGATGCAACAGTACTTGGAAAAGGTACGGGAACTGATAAAGCAATTCCAAACTTGGAAGGTCATACAAATATCAAGGGATGAAAATGTTGAAGCAGATGCCTTAGCTAATCTCGCATCCGCAACTGATGTGGCAAATGATGCAAACGCTTCAGTTATACATTTATTTCATTCAGTTCTCGAACCTAATAAGAATGAGGTAAATTTTAATAATTTAACTTGGGATTGGAGAACGAAATTGTTGCTTTTTTTACAGTATGGTACCGTCCCTGATGACAAGAAACAAGCGCATGCACTTCGAAAAAAGGCTGCTCGTTACTATTTAAAACAGGGGAACCTTTATCGTAAAATATTCGGTGGTCCCTTAGCAAGATGCCTCAGACCTTCTCAAACGGAGTATGTAATGAGGGAAATACATGAGGGGCATTGCAGGAATCACGCAGGAGGAAGATCACTGGTGAGAACCTTGATTAGAGCAGGGTACTACTGGCCTAAAATGGGAGAAGAAGCGGAAAGTTTTGTGGCTAAATGTGATAAATGGCAGAGGTATGGTAACAATATGCACATGCCAGCAGAATTATTACATCCAGTCATTGCGCCGTGGCCATTTATGAAATGGGGAATGGATATAGTAGGACCATTACCTCAAGCAAAAGGACAGGTAAAGTTTCTTCTCGTACTTACCGATTATTTCACTAAATGGGTAGAGGCAGGAGCATTTAAACAGGTGCGAGAAAAGGAAGTTAAAGATTTTATTTGGCGAAATATCATCTGCCGATTTGGTGTACCAAAGGAAATTATATGCGACAATGGCCCTCAATTTATCAGAGCTCAAGTCACAGATTTTTTTGAGAGTTGGCAAATTAAAAGGCTTACATCTACACCTTATCACCCAGTGGGTAACGGGCAAGCAGAATCAACGAACAAAGTCATAATCAACAATTTGAAGAAACGTTTAGAGGAGTCAAAGGGTAATTGGCCTGAAGTGTTACCCGGAGTTTTATGGGCATATCGCACGACAACAAAGACGAGCACAGGTGAAACCCCTTTCTCTTTAGTTTATGGAGCTGAAGCACTAATCCCGGTTGAAATAGGAGAACCAAGCATAAGGTTCTCACAAGCGACACAGGAATCAAATGATGAAGAAATGCGGGTCAATTTGGATTTGTTGGAAGGTAGGAGAGAAGCTACATTAATAAGAATGGCAGCACAAAAACAAGTGATCGAACGATATTACAACAGGAAAGCACGCATGAGATACTTCAAAATTGGGGACTTCGTGCTTAAAAAGGTTTTTCAATCTACAAAGGCAGCCAACGCGGGTAAAGTAAGTCCAACCTGGGAAGGACCCTACAAAGTTCGAGATATTGCAAGAAATGGAGCATACGAGTTGGAAACAATGGACGGGAAGGTGCTTCCTTCACATTGGAATGCAGTTCATTTGAAGAGATACTATTTTTAAGGAAAAAACCAACGGTCAGGTATCACTATGTTAAATTATATATTTTTTTGAATTGTTAAAATTTTACTAACGATTTTAGATGATAGGCAAAACGCTAGCCCGTACTAAATGATGAGTCACGACCTGTAAGGCAAAATGGAATAAACTAAAATTCCTAGCCCAGGTTTACAATTATTCTGATAGAAGTATACACGGGTTAAGCAGTCTTCGTCTATAATCGCACCCCGAGTCTCGTATGTACTTCCTTTTCAGGAAAAAGGACCAGGTGAAGGAGACTATCAAGTGCTCGAGGCTTCATACTTCAACACTCAAACACTTGGGGGACTACATAGTATATACAGTCACGTGTATAAAAAAGGCAAAGAAAATTTAGAAAATCAAGCCTAGAAGAATCAAGTACGGAGTGAAAGTTACGAAGTCATGGCATTCATCATAGTATTCTTTCCCATGAGAACAATGGCATTCATCATAGTATTCTTTTCCATGAGAACAATGGAGTCATCTCTCAAACTCTTCCTAATGTTCTGGAGCTAAAGGGACTATGTACTAAAACGGGTTATAAGGAAAAACCCCGTATCTATTGTTCTTCTTTTGTATAAATCTGTTACAAGGAAAATAGTTACGAGAAAGTTATAGATGTATTTCAAATACATGTAAAGTATTACTCAAAACTTGTCAAGGTTCAGAAATAAACACTTGTCGAAGTTATTGCAAAAAACATGTGTGTTCCTATTTCTTTTATCGTATGATAACACCATTATGAAGTTGAGACGTCTTCTTCATTAAGTGTCAAAATATAAAAGGGCCCTCTTTTATAAAACTCATGTTATTTAGTCATGGGATTAACAGAAGCATTTTTCAAAGAACAAAAATGCAGACTATTCTTTAAGTCCTTGAAAATAAAAAGGCAAGAATAGAACAGACAGTTTAATGATAATAAAAACTTCTTAATATTTAAAACTAAAGACTAAGTATAAACTTAGTCATCGAAGTATTTATACAAAATGCCCCATAACAAGACTTGGGGACTTGTACTTCTAAAAATAAACCCTCAAGTGATAGCCAAGGGTTTGATTACAGAAACTCTCAAATGAATTCAAGAACTTTAAACACAGTTTTCCAAACAGGTACCTGCAAAAAGGGAATTTAAAACAGATATAAATTTTTTCACTAAGAGGAAAGGACTGAAGAAGGATCATCAGCGAGCTCAACTGGAACAACATCGCCAACAGAAGCGGGTTGATTTTCAACCACAGCAATTGGAGTATCAATAGACGAAGTTTCAACTTGACTTGCAACATGAGGCACGGTTGAGCTTGAAGAGGGTGCATCACCCGAGACAATTTTAGCGTTCATAGGGACTTCAACTGCAGAAGTTTCAGCCAAGGGAGCCTCACTCACCGGAACTTTACCCACGGGAACATCAACTCCGGGAACTTCAGTTTCGAAAACTTCAATTGCGGGTGAAGGGAAGTCCAGTGGTTGTTGAGCTTTTTCAATAGTCTCCATCACCTTAGCTAACTCTGACTCCAGATTAAAGTTTTCTTGGCTAGCTTCAACTAAGGCATCACGACGGGAGTTCAGAAAAGCCCAGCTTACATCAACTGCAACCTTATCTTCAAGAAGCTCATAATCTCTTTCCCAAGCAGCAATTTCATTCTTGAGACCTTCATTTTCATCCAAGGCTGAGTTGTAAGAGGCTTGGAGAGAGGCATGAGATTTTTCCAAGGCCTGCATCTTGTCTTTAGAAGTTCACAGATTTTCTTGTGTCTGAGTCAAATTCTGTATCAAATCTCCAGCATAAACTTCTTTTTGACTTAAAAGAGCTTTCAGCTCTCTAATCTCTTCACTTGCCTTAGATAATTGTTCTGAGAATGAAGACTCGAGACACTCTCTTTCTTTCTCTGCCTGACTTGAAGAAGCCTTGACAACCGCAAGCTCTGAAGTTAATGCTCTTATCTGCTGTTCCAGGTTATTCTTGTTCTCTTGCAAATCTTCTATAGTAATTTGAGCACTATCAAATTGTTCCTTCCAATTAGCTGCTTCCAACTAAAAGTCACGAGCTTCCCTCTCTAAATCAAGAACAGCCTTTTCAGAGTCACGTGCCACCTTCTCTAATAAAGAAACTCTACTCATCAGCTCTGTACCAATAAGGTTGGCCTGAAAATGGTAAGGGAAGAAAAATTAGAATTCTAGAAAAATTCTGGTAAATTAAAGAAAGAAAGGACATACCTTCAAGGTGGAATGAACAATGTCGTTCATCAGAGTCAGACAGCTATGGCTATTCAGTTTTTCTTTCTCAATTGGGCCTATTAAAGGTTCAAGCCAAACATCCACCTGACCGGATTTCCTCAAAAGGCTGTTGTTAGCAGGAACTTCGATAGTCACGCTCCTCATAGCAATCCTTATACTTGTAGAACCCACTTCTGTATTATGGACAGTAGAAGGAGGAGCGGTAGAAGAAGTAATAACAGCAGAGGGAGGTTCGGAAGCAGGTGGAACAGGTACGGAAGCAGATGGAGCAGGTAAGGAAGGAACCAAAGGCACTGCAGAAGAAGGAAGAGAAGGAACTGAAGATATGGGAGTTGAAGAGGAAGATAGGGGAGGTTCATCCAAAACAGGTCCTAACTCACCACTCTTAAAACCACTAACGAAAAGCTGGTTAATCGACTCATGAGTGTCATGAGGGGTGGCAACGTCATCATCAGAAACAAGATTAACATGCCCAGTAGGAGAAAGATGAGGGGAAGTTTCAGTTTCATCAGAAATGATACGTCTCCTAACTCTTGGCCTTGTCATCAATGAACCACCCTCTTCTTCTTCGTCGGAGCTATCATCGTCTGTGGTTTTTCTTTTTAGAAGAATATCCTGAGCACTTTCTAAGGAAAGTTGGGTTCCTAAACGAGAGGCCGCAACTTTATCAGCGGTAACACCTCGAATAGCAAATCATGACAAAGAGAAGGATGAAAGTTAAAGCAATGAATTTTTACATACGAGAGAGATAGAAACTCTTACCGTGAGTCTTCACTCTCCAACCGTAAATACTGGAAATGTATTTCCAAGACCTAGCCTCCATGGGTGCAGTCTTCAACAATTTATCTACCCAACCACGAAAATTGGGAATGTTCTCCACAACTCCCATGGTTGCTAAAAAAAAGAGGGAAACAAAGTTAAAGAAATTGATAAACTCGAAAGAAAGAGGTACGAGAGAGATAAGAGACTTACGTGCAAAGTTCCACTTCTTAGGGAAGGGAACGTTTTGTTCACCCACTAAACCAACTGTGGGGGCAGCAACAAATCGGGCATACCAGCCACGATCCTTGTCATCTTCCGGACTCACCAAAACCCTTTTACTCCTAGCCACTAAGGTGAAAATGCCATTACAAAATAACCTAGGGAAGTAGAGGTGAATTACGTGAGGGAAGGTAAATTTAACATCTGCTAAGTTAGCCAGATGACTTAAACAAGCCACAGCCCTCCATACCAACGAACCAATCTGTGCTAGACATACTTTGAAGAAACGACAGAAATCGAGAATTACTAGGTCGATAGCTGGTCTAAACCCAAGAGTAAAAGGGTATGTGTAAACAAAAGAGAGTACAGTCATATATGAAGTAATCCTTTGATTTGGATTGGGGATTACAATGGGAAAATCGTCATTCTAGTGGCAATCTTTGCGAACTATGGGAGCTAAAAGCTCTGTAATCAAAGTGGGGAAAGCATCAACACGATCTAGACCTGCAACTTGGTTTTGAAGTGATTGTCTATCATGGTGAAAAGAAAAATCGTTAGGAATTATCTCCTCCACCAAAGGCTCTTGTAATGGTTCAGAGGTTTTCTTGCCCTTAGAAGATGATTTTTGGGTAAAAGAACCCCTGGTTCTAGAAGAAGAGCCAGGATTAGAAAAAGGCATGGCAGAACCACCACCACGAGAAGATCCTAAACTATGAAGTCTTCCACCCCTTCTATGTCTAATAGGGCATTGGGATAATTTTCTAAAGCAGGAGCTCTTCTAGGGTTAGGGTTTGAAGAAGACGAAGTGAATAAAAATTTGCACAGTTTGAGTGTTCGAAAGAGTTTTGTGTGGAAAAAATTAAACGGTAAAACTGTATTTATAGGTAACCGTCAAAAAGTAAAAACGCAGTAATGGAAGGGTCACAATAATGGTAACTGGTACTTCGTGAATAGTGGAGCTGTAAAAAAAGACCTTAAAAAGGGGTGCAAGTTGCAGAATCAATAAGGAGTTGACACGTGTGAAGAACATTAAATAGATGTGACCATTGAAGCGTCAATCTTGTCACAACATTAATGATGACAAAAATTCTCCTTTTATGAAGTCCACTTCCCAAATATTCAACTGACGAATAAATGGAAAGTGGGGGGACTATTTGTATTGGGAAAAATTTACTCTGCATATTGGAGATGATGTGTCGTGACACGTAGACTGGTCAAATAGTCAAATAATTAAGGTTGTTCAATAGGTACGCGAAACAACAGACACGAACAAGTTAAACAGAACAGACACGAGCAAGTTAAACAGAAGAGACACGAGCAGTCATGTGAGACATTCAATGCTCGCACCCGTTTAAAGCATTTAGACCGCAAAGATCGTGAAGAGTCAGGGGAATGAATCTGACAACAAATAAGAGCCCAGATACAACATTTAATGCGAGAAATGTTTGAGAATATGTATTTAATGTATATGATTACATAACGTAACATTTAAAGTCATTAACTGCCCATAATTGTCTTATTATGACAAAGGTAAAGTCTGTATTCCCAAAATAGCTATAAAAGGGAAAGTCATAAACAATTGTAAGCACGAAAAGAACACTATTGAAATATACTTTGATTTACTTGTTTTTTGATCATATTATTCACAAATCTCTTTCTCTATATATTTTTCTGATTATCAGTAACCCGTATTCTTCTAAATTCTAGCTTTGACTAAAAATCTAATTTTTGGTTAAACAAAATAACTAAAAAATAAAATAAAATAGCCAAATCAGAAAAAATTTAATACTACACAATACTTACTAAAAGACTACAACTTTAAAACTAAACTAAGTAAATATATTTTTTTGAAATTTTCTTCTTATCTTCTGGAAAATAAAATGTCAAAGCTATTTTTTTTTATATTTTTTCAAGAGTAAAACTAATTAGACAAAATATCAACTAGCTAAAATAAAAAAAAATATTTTTTGTAGTTTTTATTTTTAAAATAAGACAAAGCAAAAGAGTCAAAACTAGTTAAAGTAGCAAATTAGACCAAAAAGAAATATATATAAGCACTAAGATGTGTAAAATTTCGGGGAGGGTCAAAAATTACATGTTTGCAGGGAGATCTCAATGAAGAAGTGTATATGATCATGCCTTAGGGGTTCTCTACTACTGAAGGTAAACAACAGGCATGCAGGTTGCTCAAGTCCCTCTATGGACTCAAGCAAGACTCAAGTAAATGGAACATCAAATTGACAACTGCTTTGATTGCATCAAGCTTCACTCAGAGTCATCTAGACTATTCTTTATTCACCGGATGTTCAGCTGAGAAGACTGTCATTGTCTTGGTTTATGTGAATGATTTTTTGATCACTGGAGATGATGTCACACTTATTCAAGACACTAAGGATATCTTGCAAAAAAATTTCAAGATTAAGGATTTGGGTGAGCTTATATTCTTTTTGGGAATTGAGTTTGCTAGAAGTCATCATGGAATTTTGATGCATCAACGCAAGTATGCATTGGAGCTTATTTTTGATATGGGCTTTGCAGGTGCTAAACCTGTAGTAGACCCTGTTGAACTCAATCAAAGTTAACAACTGCCGAATTTGACAAACATTTAGGTTTGCAGAATGATCCACCACTTGATGATCCTAGTAGTTATCAACAACTTGTTGGGTGGCTTCTCTATTTGACAGTCACTAGACAAAACATCTCCTATGTTGTCCAAACTCTTAGCCAATTCATGCATTCTCCTAAAGCATCTCACATGGAGGTTGCAATCAGGGTTGTCAAATACATAAAGCAAAAGTCCTGGCATGGGAATGCTTATGTCATCTACTGCTTCTACTCACTTACACGCCTATTGTGATGCTGATTGGTCATCCTGCCCATCCACTAGAAGGTCTATTACTTGTTATGTGGTGAAGTTAGGGGACTCTTTGATTTCATAGAAGTCAAAGAAGCACACCACTATCTCCAGGAGCTCAGCAGAGGCAGAGTACAAGAGTTTAGCTTCTGTAGTTGTAGAGATCGTGTGGCTTGTTGGTTTACTCAAGGATTGAGTGTAGAAGTTAAGTTACCTATTCCTGTTCACTGTGACAACAAATCTGCTATCTAGATAGCTGCTAATTCAGTATTTCATGAGTGTTGTTTACCGTGAAAATGGTAATAACAATTAAATTTTTTGATGGGACTCTAAAAATACGTGATCTATTTTTATGCTAGTTGTTAAGCAGTTGATGCTATGTGTATGAAGTTTAAGGACAAAATGCAAGCTAAAATAGAGTTATAATCGAACCGATGAGTTAGCTATTCAGGGCCTCGAGCTTGTCGGTTTGGGGCCTCGAGGTCGATTCCTGGGCTCGGGCTCGAGCTATTAGGGGTATTCGGGAAAGGACTAACAATCTCGATATAATTAAGAGAGGCTCTTTATGGCCAATGATGAGCAATAAATGAAGAACAAGTATGAAGTGATAAATAAGAGAAACAATATCGAGAGAATATGTCAGAGAGAAAAGAGAGAGTTCTTGTATATTTCGTGTAGAATAGTTGGAGTGACAACAGTTGTTTACAAAATGGTAAGGATCCCCTTTATATAGAAGGGGAATCCCAAGATAGTGCAAAATGCATTAGTTATAAAGATATGGAGATAGGACGGCTAGACATGACACCCTGATACGGGTTCAGGGAAGGCCGACTAGGCTTTGTCAGACTTATCCGCGTGTCTTGGGAACTCCCCATTTTTACTCTAGCCTCGGTCGATATTCCCTTCAGGACGGGTGTCGACGAGCTCCGAGGAAGGAGACTCGAGCGCATCTTTTAAGCTTAGGTGATCTTCCGACACGCCTTAATGACGGGAAATCGGACCCTTCGATTTTGCCGTATACAGATAGTCTCCATGTTTCTTAGAGTGAAAGTGATAAGAAACAACCTTGAGCTTCTTCCTCCTCCGGTACTCTTGTAATCGGCATCGGTCACAAGATGCCAAGATACGATACGCACGCAGCCCCTGAAAATCTCTATATTGACTATGGCAGTTGGCTGTCTCTTGGCCTTCTTCAGTGCGCACGCAGAGCTTCTATAAATACTCCCCTTCTTATTTTCTTTAACCCATTGTATTCCCAAACCCCAGAAAAGGTTTGCCCTTCCTTTGCTTTCGCAACTCTTTTTCTCCTTCCAAAATTTTCTAGGAATGGCGAAAACTTCCGCCTCTGCTTCTCAGGAGATTGCGGTCTCATCCTCTTCACTTTTATCTCAAGGTGAAGTGGCCACACCCCCTCGCGCTGAGGAATGCGCCCCAGGATCCTTTGCAATGACTTCTGATTTCAAAGTCGAGAGACCTTCTTCGAAGCTAGAGCGTCGCGAGCCCGTGACTCGGTATATCAGCTCGATAACAAATGTCGGAGGAGTGAGAGCTGACTGCCGCTGGGGGGATACCGTGCTTGTGGAGATCCCTGCTCGGGAAGAAGATATTACGACATATAAAGCGGGCTTTCTGAGTGTGTATACCTATCCATTCACCTTAGGGCCGGTGGGGCCATCCTCGCCCCCGCTCGACCCCGTGATTTTTGACTTCTGCCGGCGGTATCAGGTAACCCTTGGTCAAATTCATCCTTCGTTCTGGTGCGTCGTTTATATGATCAGGCATTACACAAACATGATCGAGGAGATGCCCTTCACCCTCCACCACCTGATCAGGATGTATAGCCTCGTCTCCTCCGCGGGGGCCTGATCAAGCTCCGCTGTTGAGCCCCGAGGTCTTTCTTTGCCTGCATTGATGAGCTCGGGAACGGGGGACGGGTAAGCCGATTTTTCCGAGTGAGGACTTCCGACCTAATTCCGGCGGAAAAGATG